TGTAACATGACCTTAAAGATGCGGTACAGTCCGTATGTAAACAAAGGCTTTGTTTACATTTCGGTATCCAAAATATTGAATTTTATTCGACAACTATTTATATTTTCATGATCCTAGAGTGTAATAAATTATCAAGACACAACAATCAAGCTTTGCAAAAACATAAAATGAAATAAAAACCTAAATTAATTGTTTGTGAATAAAAAGAGGGCTCCTTTGTCCACATGCGCAGATCGGACTGTACCGCATCTTTAAGGCATATAAGCCACACCCCATCCCTTGCTTCGTCTCTATACTTATACTGTATTTTAAAAATTAATATTTAACCAAATCATATTTACCTGAAAAACTACCTAGGCTCAGTTTATAACTGTCAGACTCAGACCCCACAGAAAAGGATCCATACTTTGCGTACGCTGTGTCACTAGTCCAATCCGTCAAGTCCACTCTTAGAACAGTTTGTCCCGATTTTGTCAGACGATGTATTTTATCCAAACCAAGCCAAAAATTACCGTTAAGATCACCAAAACCATTTTTGTAATCTTGCCATCCACGATAGAAATTTACACTTGCGTTTTGTCTTCTTTGGAACACTGTCCACCCTCCACCATCTGTTTGCATATCACATCTGACTTGGAAAGATCCAAGGCCATCAGGGTTGATAGTGTAAACACCATCTTTTCTTTCACCAGATTTGTATAAACTTGAACAACTTGTCACGGGTTTCGCTGTTGTCGAGATAGGTTTTCTTGTGGTGGGTTGAACTATTGGATTAATGGAATAAAAATGTGTTGTCAAGATGTAAATTGCAAAACCTTCGCCAAAACTGTTCAGACCAAAATACCTAGAATAAACACTTTCAAAGCAGTAGCTGTGGTGGATCTGTGGATTGATTAAAATTTTCTCATAATCAGGGGTAGGAGTAGGAAGGTCTAATCGTCTGGTCGGTCGAGGACATTTTTCCCAGGGGAATTTCTCTGTTTTTAGGTTCTGCGAAACGCTATTTAATGCATTTTAGACACGTTTCATCAATTAAAGTCTGAAAGCCACAGATTTGAAATATTTATGTCATGGATGAATACATTAAGAAGTTACACGACTCCGTTTTGAAAAATTACAAAATTGGGCCAAACGAAATTGGTCCCATCCCCCCCACCGTGTTCATACTTCATAGTATGATAAGTTATCGAAGTCAAATAACATTGTAAATGTTGAACTTTTATTGAGATTGTGAGTATTGTGTAGGGATAATTTGAATTTAAGAGACTAAATAACAATATAAAATAAGCGCATTGCCCACCCAAATCCTTGGTATTATCGGCGTTGACAGTCTTGTTTACCCTTCCCAACTGTGTTTTGAGTTCAGCCAGATTTTTCTCGAGCTTTGCCAATTTTATATTAAGCTAAATGGTAGAAAATATCAAGATATTAGTGTCGTTGTAATGCCTCGTTCTGCTTTCTCATTCTTTTCTGTATAACTAAAACCGTTTTTAATCTTAAAATAATTTTACTTGCCCTTTTTTCAACCTGGTCCAACATTGGTTTCATCATTTCCGCATTGTTCTCCTAAATTTAAACTTTATTATATTAATAAGCGATTTAAGAGAACGCGCTCAATGGACCTATTCCCTAATGATCAAAATTTTGATCTAGACAAGTCTAGACAAAAATTTCATCACGGCTTGAAAGAGCATCACAAAATTAGTAATATTCCGATGTTTCGTTGCGAAATGTTGTAAAATGCGGATAATATAGCACTGCGAAGTTTGCCGTTTTTCAGTCATTTTGTATTACGCACGGGAAATTGATACCGCTTTCTGAAAAAAGGTATCAATTTCCCGTTCGTAATTTGCGGGAGTTTGCCCATAAAATCTCATTGTTGGATCTCCATGCAGGACTGATTCTCTTGCGTATTCTGGTATGACTCTTCCTCAAGCCCTAACGTTGCTTATTCGTGCAATGATTCATGGAAATGCGATGGAAATTGAGTATAACACAAAGGACCATGGGAATGCCGCGTTGGGTAAGCGACTGGGGACGAGTCAGTATTTTGACATAAAGTTTTGGGGATATGTAACTGATACCCAAATTGACTGAGTTTTTGCTACAATATTCTTCGAGTCAATGTGAATATGATAATTTATGAAATTTAAAATACTTATAAGAGGGGCTAAAGTCCAACTTCCAACTGTCTAACTCTTGTCTCAAGATTTAGGTTTTTGTTTAAATATCCAGTTTTGATGGCATGGAAAAATTTAAACCTTACGTTTTTAGGTCTTCCAAACTTGGCAGGTCTGCAGGATGTTTAATTACGAACTGAAGGGTATATCAATGTTACCTTATTTCCTTGACCAATTACATTCCATGTTTCATTGGATCTTACATAAAGTTCTTTGGTGTCCTTGCGGTATTCCAATAACCCTGGCACAGGCGGCACTTTCTTGGCAGCGGCACTATCGGGGACAACAACGATCTGCAAAGGATTGTAAAGCATAAGGTATATATAGAACTAGGTATAGAACTAGGCATATTTAGTTTGTCCAGTTCTATAAATGAGCGAGATCAGTGGTTTCAATACTAGATTTCCCTTATTACGTTTTCGTAGCGCTTTGCATAATCGAAATAGTGGTATAACTGATATTCAAGAAGCTAGGCTTATTTTTTGTCCTGACAGTGGTATAACTAATATTCAAGAAGCTAGACTAGGGTCAGGTGCGCGATAGCCAACAGCAAAATATTCGCGAAAACATTCAATATTTTCATTCGAGGCCGCTATCTTTATCAGTGATACCACGTACTATAACCACAATGCAAAGCGCTACGAAAACGTAATAAGGGGAATTGCAAATGGACCTGGTGTTAGCATGAAAAAATATTACGCTTCATTTATGTTTTATGTTTAGCCAGCAAAATGAGTATATTAACTGGTTAAAAAGCATTTTGTGTAAACTTGAAGCCGATTTTCAAAAACACAATTCATGTTTGACCACGTTTTCACATGCGTGAAAAGACTGGGACGGGCCTTCAAGTTTCTCTTCAAATTTCCGGTTGGAGGAGGTTTTTCAATTATATTCATTACACTGTGTATAACGTATCAATGCCTTACACCATCGTTCAGAAGAATTTCATTCTGATCACATCGACCCTAAAAAGACACAAAAAATTATGTTCTTTTAGGCTCGGTCCTTTATTGACTACTTTTATTTCAAAAGTTAACGAAAACAACCTACAAACCCAATGTTTATTTAGCATTGTTAATAGTTATCATCATGGAAAAAAATGAACGAAAAGTGAGAACCAACCATCACTGGAATGGAATTTCCATTATATAACTTGTACCAAACCACTTTCCCTTGAGCAACTGTCACTTTATACTCCATACATTTGTTCCAGACTCTTTTTGGTAGCGATGATCTCACCCAAAACCATGTATAGACATTCTTCTCAATAGTTCCACCATTTTTACCTCTGCATTCAGTACCACAGTAATTTTTCTTGCTACCAACAGGACCAAAACAACCACAACACTAAAGTGGTCAGAAAATTGATATCAACTTTTTATGGTGTCTGTGATCAAATTTGCAGTTCTGAGTAATTTGTTCCAGCTAACTAGGAGAACATCTGGCCATTCAATCCGGAATCAATTTAGGGTTTGAAATGAAATGAAATCTCATTCTTATAGATCATTATTAGACTCAACGAATTCAATTTTGACTAAGTCCTGGGACTGAATTAATTATTTAAAAAATGCATTGCTGTAGGAGTCTATATACTGTATTAAGACTGGATCATGCAATATACTTCAAAAACTCTCCGGTATCATATGCAAGCAAGATAAAGTAATACGGTTGGCCAATTTACAAATTAATTATTTAATAATGCGTTTTGCTTTTAAGGTTACCCAGGATTATAATTAAATTTAAAAAACTGATTAATAATTCAGGAGGAAAACACAAAGAAAAATCATAAGCGTGTCGTATCTTCATATGTGATAAAAAATCATGTTAATTTGCATAAACTTTAGCTTTAATTTTCTCGATTTAGATAAATTTATTTTAAAAATTACTTCACCAAAGAACTCATATAAGATGAATCGTTTTTTAAGCCATTTAAAGCACTAGTGTAATCGTGTTTTATCAGATATAAAACGCTCGGCTGCGCCTCGTTATCTGATAAAACACACCTACGCGTGCTTTAAATAGTACATAACCAAGACTCGAAAAGAAACTTACTTTGTGGTTTTCACAGCCAACAAATGAGGTTGACTCATGAGTGATTCCCGAAGTGATATTTCCAGACGCACTATAGCTGTAAAAACATGATTCAATGTCCAGCATTAGATCATTGTATTACCGTTATACAGTATGTGGCATACGTTGAAAGCCCCAACGCTAATAATTATTTTTTAAATTTACCTAAAAGCTCCTGAGAAATCCATTTGAACTGGATACTTTGTGTGGAAGGCAAAGCCAGCTGAACACGGACTGTTCAAACAACTGTTCAACATGTCCTATAACGAATTGTGATGTATAATGTATAATTTTGACAGCGTTTAATTCAAAGTTTCTTAATTCTCGAATTTAGAAATATTTGTATTCTTAAAAAACGTACCCAACCATAACCATCTGACTTGGAATGATGAGAACTGAATTGTGAACAGCGAAATTTTGTCGTGACAATTTCTTCAGTTTGAAGATCTTTAACATAAGAAATATCTCCAATTCCTGGCGATAATCTACCACATCCTCCTTCATTGAGCATCAAAAGTTTCTTTAAAGGACGTTTGTTTTTTAGTCTGAATGACCTATACATGCAATTATGAAAATAATTTTAAAGCGCTCATCATACATATTGTCGTACATTGATTATTCATGATATCACCATTACCATCATCCATGAGCATTATTATGATTATTTTTATTACGTATCCACAATGATCATCATGATCATAATTTACTATAAAAGAAACTTATTTCCCTTGCGGCTCTAATGTTTTCTTCATGTTGTATAAAGCAAAATTGAATTCTTACAGGAAATCTGACCTTAATACATATGAGCAACAGTAAACGGTTATGATTGCGTGTAAACACTGAAAAAATACTGCTCAACACAAAACAACATTTTGCACAGCAAACTTAAGACTGAAATTTTCTTGTTAATAATGTACTCACCAATGAGCTCTTGTTGCACTGAAATCTTCTTGTGTTGCCACTTGAACTCGGAAATCGACGATTGGAGCATCACCAAGTGAGCTGGACCAATGAGGTTTGCCAAATGGTTCAACTGTCTTGTTATTGGATGGTACTGTCCACATGACGGCGTTTGTTTTACGACCAATTAGCGCCCATGCACCCTCCTCCGTCAGTATTCATGTCACAATACGCCTGGAACAAAAAGTGTTATAGAGCAAGTTCGTAAACTTTATCATGATCGGAAGCATGACTGATATATAGAAGTACCTTTTTTGGAACATTTCCAGATAATTTGATCCAATAAAACCCATCCTTTGCCCCAGAGATTTTGTTGAGAGCATCTGAACAGTCATATGCAGGATTGAAAAACTCTCCCGTTGGGTTGGAACCTTGTAAAAATTCGTATGTAAAATTATGATGAGTTTGTGAATAGACTGTGTACTGTTTATTGCACTCTTGCCCCAATGGCCTCGTTTTCATGTTGTTATTTCCTCATGATTAAAGATAGGTTTTTGATTGGCTCAAGATCAAAGAGAAATATATTCATGCACGAAGAAACATGGGGATATAACCTTCATGTGCGCCTGTGATACTAAAACAAGCAAACATTGAAAAAGGCCATTGGTAAAAAAATGAATAAACATTATTCAATAATTGTGTCGGCTTGCCGTGACATTCAGTACAATATGACACCTTACCATCAGTTGCTTTCCAGAGATAAACTTTTTTTTCTTCAGCACAAACCAACAGTTTGTCATTATCGTCACGATCTTTCACCATGATTAACTTGCCATGATTCGTTTTATTACATTTTCCAGGATCATAACCGCGAAGACTGACTTTCTAGAAAAGTATATCTACTACATGACCTATAATTGACTGCAATATAATCGGTGTGTTATATTTCAGCTAATCATAAGCATCATAGCTAATGCTTTATAACATGCATAAGTATTTGGAATAACATGAGAAAACTACGGATTGAGAGTGATTCAATTACCTAAAAAACATGACAAGCAAAACGTTGACGTTTCGAGCGAAGGCCTTTCGTCTGGAAGTTACTGGAATAACTAACCTTCAATTCAGCTGATGCGCTCAACCACAGGTGACCGAGTGAAGACCACACGACCAAGGTAACAAACACTGAGATATACATGGTAAATATTCTAAAAAAATAATTAAACTTCAATCAACTGGCCGACATGTTTGCAAAACGTAAAATTTGTATCTTTTTTATACAATACATGCATTGCTCTCAGGGCCACTTCAGAACTCGAGAACCTTGTGCATTATCGCACGCTCGTTATAATAGGTGGGGAGAGTTGATTAAACGGCTGTGTTAAATAAGACGTATTAATATGAAAACTAGCTAAGTGCACTGATAAAGTGTAAGTAAGGTTTGAGAGGTTAAATTTGAGAGGCTAGAAGCTATAATTCTAACATTGCATATCCTTTAACCTAAATTGCACAAGTGTGAACAATACTGTAATTGACTTACCGTTGTGTACGAAGTTCCCACTCCGTGCTGTCTGATCTTGAAATAAACAGTTGATTCAAGAGTCTTGTATTTCAACTGCGTGTTGACCGGATAATGCAGTTCCCTCATGGCTAAATTTGGAAATGAAAACAACATCTGCAACAGTGAGTGCGGTACGACTGTCTGATTAGTTCGAATGGTGATGAAAGATTTGCTGTTGGAAAGCGTGGATAAATAATTAGTTCAGATGCAAACTATTCAGGCCTTAAAATATCGGTCGGTCATGGACATTGTCCGACCCATTCGTGAAATTGTCCGACGTAGACAGGAAACCACCGGACATTCTGTCCGACCAAAGTGAAATTGAGGTTTATTGTTTGTCCGACCTGAGTGTATTTGTGTCCGACCAAACTGTAGCTCTGTCCAACGTAAATTAAAATGTACCCTATCCCAGAACTTAAGGCCTGCTATAAATACAAGTTTAACTTGTATTATCATAACTGTAATGAAAGCACTAACACTCAATAATCAATATTGCCATTGTGCTATACCAGTACAAAATGACTTATATTAGTAATATAAATATCCGGCGGAATTTTTAATCATGGTGAGTGTTTTGTGCAGAATATGGCGCGCTTACTACTTGAGGTGATTCCGGCCTCAAACATATTAGAGAGGTTAAGATACCCAGGTTCCGGTTTACGGGTACGGGCGATATACACGTACCCGTACTCGTAAACCGGGGAACGACTTGTAACTTAAGAAATCCAAGATGTTCCGGCGTGAGTAAACCTATCAGGGAATGGCAACTTTCGCTATTCAGGTTCGCGCGATCGCCATAGATTGTTGAAAACTTTGACAAGCATAAGTGCATTATTTATTTGGGTAAGATGTTGAAAATTTTTATAACTATTTAAACGGCCCACAAATAGTAAACAGGAAACACCCGTACCCGTTTGTCTTTTACGTGCAGACCATGGTTTACCGCGGGGAAACGGGTAGAAATTACGGGTAAAATGCTGACATCAGCAACAATTGGTAAACAAAATGGCGATACTCGTACCTGTAAAACGGAACCGGGGTATCTTAACCTCTCTAATGTTTTATACCGCACCACACGCTCTGTGCACGTAACTTGTAAGGCGAAAGTTTCAGGGAAAGGTCATTGATAAAACTTTTACCTCGAATCATCCTGATCGAAATGCAGTCAGACTGTGTCAGTTAAATTATTTTACATATACTGGATAGTGCAGCCTCTATGCATAAATCAAGTCAATGGCGGTCATGTTGGTGTGACCACTGGAAATCTACTGTGGCGCTGTTGACATGTTAGAAGAGGTTCCAACATTTTCTAGTTAGTTCTTGTTGGAAAGGAGAAATGTTGTCTGGATAGATAATGACTAGGAATGTTCTCTCTTCTTAATGTGCGAGTGAGGTTACACCAACACGCCAGTATTGCCACGAGTTTCATTGTTTTGAGTTCAAAACGTCATTAATTAGAAAAAGCGTGGAAAGTCAGAATCAACTGCTAGCTTTCATGAATCCTGCTCTCAGCTGATGTAAAGAGCCGTATAGCCTTTGCCGTTGTGGTTTACTTTGCATGCCGGTGATTGGCCCGCGCCATATTGTTGGAATCCTAGCCGTGTATGTCAGATTTTTTAAGGGTTTTGGATCGCAAATAAGAGTGCTGAATAGTGCAAGACGGTAAAGCATTTACGTTGCCATATCAAGCCAGAACACCAAAACATTTATGATGATTGTGACGTCATAAACTTACCGACAATAGCAAATTATGAGTGTGTGACCAATGTCTGGAATTCTTTACAAATTCTTTTAAGTTTGCAAGAATATCATGCTTAAAGTACATTTATTAGGTGAACTGATCAAAAAAATATCGCTCATTATAACATATGTGCAACATTAATGGTAGAGTTTTGAACATAAATATTAAAGATACATAATAAGCAAGATCTGGAATTTAAATGATTTCAATTTAAATTATTTCATCAGTATCCAACTGGGATACGAAAGTTCAAAGTTTTAGTGTCTGTACCCAGTTAATTCTGGGTACTAGTTACCATAAATCGTTTTAGTATTCAGGGCGCACCTAGCTACAATTGCCAACTGAGTATTCAGGAGACCCGATGTCTCTCCCATTTATACAGATCGACGTCAACAGAAATTTAGGCTATCCACAGTATCCCCACACGCTAAATAAAAGTGTAAAGAAGTTGTCTCTCAGTATTTTCGTTCAGCAACAACTTCAAGCTCTATAGTCTGAATAGTCTAGTGTATGTTTAATTCCAAAATCAGTGAAGGCAATTAGCATTAGCCAATTTGTCCAACTGTAAAGCACATGCATGTACAATTGAACACGTAACTATAGTCTCCAACGGATATTTAATAACGAGAAACAGTGTGTGAAGCGCATATATTTTTCTTTAAGGCGAATAATGAGCGGAAAGTGTAGGGGAGGTAAGCATCAGAATACTTAGTGTAGAGGGTCTTCAAGGGGTTTTGCCTATTTTTGGACTGGGAAAGTGGGATTCAGATTACTGTTACTGGGAATGACTGACAGAGAACTTGATAGTAAGGATAGGTAATTTTGTATTTTTATAGGGGTTACCTGCGAACAGGTAGTTTATAACTTGAGTTACGTAATTTCGAGCAATGAAAAAATGACGTAATGTAGTCGGACGATTGCAAATATATTCTCTACTATAACAAATATAACTTTTCTATATTATTTTTCTACAACTAAATAAAACAAAGTGTCAGCCAATTTTTGTATCAACAACGTAAATAAGTCTGAGCTTTCATTGTGATTTTTGACACGCGCAGATACATGTACGCATGGCGTACGTATATTTAATTAGATTATTATTTATAAACGCTAAATCCGTCGGGTGTAGGTGCGGGACAAAAAGCATTTGATATATAAATTTATGTCGGTAGAATTAGTAACTACACAATTGTTCAGTGTGTGTTTGATAAGAAACGCGTTCCTGGGATTTCTAAAATCCAGTAGGACGTAGTTTCATGTCCGTTTTCTTCATAGAGCTTTTCTTGTTTTTCCACTAATGTACCAATTCATTCCTTTCCAAGATCTATCATTTGTCTTGAGGTAGAGAGCATTGAGGTTGGAGTTACGACAGGAGTTATACCACCGAGCACCTTGGGCGTTCACAGCGCAGTTGCCGCCATCTCGATCATTATCTCTGTCGTAGGTAGTGACTTCATTCCGTTGTGATATGTCAACGAATCACCAGCATTACCTTAGATATAAAAACTTCCTTAAAATATTTGAAAGTTCTAAGGCTCAATTAAAAGTTTAAATGTCTATATTATCATATCAACAAGTTTTAAACATTTGCAACTGTTCTCTGTATTGTCCACTTTTCAATGACTATTAACCTTTTTTTGTCATATTTTAATGTTTTAAATAGTCCGTGATTTGGGTTTACGACCTTAGTAATCACATAGATTATTAAAACATCGCAATACTGTACTTGCGTACTAGTGTCACACTCTTAAATACAAAACGTAGTCACTGAGAAATTGTATCATTAATATGAAACCAGTTTTTCGTATCTCTGAGGATGGTTCTGAAAGAGAAATTGTATATGGCGCGCGTTTTAATCTGCCGACATTTTTCATGTGACTACGTTTTAGATAACATGACTTTGTGTCACAAGTTGCGTTGGTAGGTAAAGCAAAAGTTGCCTCTTGTAACTTGACTTTAAGGCATAGAAGCCCCACCCTAGTCCGTCCCTGGCTTTCTGACTACTTATACTGTATTTTATAAAATTTATATTTATCAAAACATACATTTACCTGAAAAACCACGTAGGTTCATCTATAACCGTCAGACTCAGACGCCACAGAAAATGATCCATACTTTGCGTACGCTGTGTCGTTAGTCCAATCCATCAAGTCCACTCTTAGAACATTTTGTCCTGATTTTGTCAAACGATGTATTCGATCTAATCCAAGTCAAAAATTACAGTTAAGATCACCAAAACCATTTTTGTAATCTTGCCATCCACGATAGAAATCTACACTTGCGTTTTGTCTTCTTTGGAACACTGTCCACCCTCCACCATCTGTTTGCACATCACATCTGACTTGGAAAGATCCAAGGCCATCAGGGTTGATAGTGTAAACACCGTCTTTTCTTTCACCAGATTTGTATAAACTAGAACAATTTGTCACGGGTTTCGATGTTGTCGAGATAGATTTGCTAGTTGAGGTGGGTAATTGAACTAATAGATTAATAAAAAGCAAAATTTATGTCAAGCTGTACTGTGTATACACCATCTTTTCTTTCACCAGATTTGTGATAAACTTGCTCAACGTTTTCCCACAAAACTGGAAAATACGATAAATATCATAGGAGTAAGTTACGTCTGTGTTTGATTTGAAACTTGTCCGCAGTTTCCAGGGTCGCCGAGAGCTTGGCGGGCCCAGGGAAAATTTTTTTTAGGGGCCCCTATTTCAAATTTTTTACCTCAATTTTTCATACCAAATTTCGGTAATTAGCCCAGAAAACCAATTATCTTGCTCTTTGCGCGGAAATATTTCACCAAAAAAAATTATTGCCCATCCCCTGCCCCCTCTCGGCCGCCCTGGCAGTTTCACTATACAGTCAGTTTGTTTTAACGTTATATATCTTATCTAAACATGCAAGTCTTGAAACTGAAAACTTTGCCCCCCCCCCCCCGCACACTGTAGGGCGTTTCAAATATTCACTGCGCCACATTCATGTATACGCGCCACTGTATAGACGCGGAATAAGATGGGAAGATTGGTTTTACGATGGGTGCATTACCCGGATGATATTTCGAAACACATATCAGAAACAACGGACCATCGTGATCTCTGATCAATTTACATGGTCTCCCAATTCAAGATAAATATCCTGCATGGCAACCTTCAGTAGGGGGTCTAAAACTCAGCGCCGATAAGCGCGTGATCTTGCAATACCTGCTGGTGTTTTCCTTTGCTCATTTTCTGCCTAAAAAAGGATAAAAAAATAATTTTCAAACTACCGAAACATAAATAATTCTGATTATTATTACGCCAGGGCGGTCCATCTGCACAATCAGGCAGCATTTTGATTGGTTCCTGAGCATATGGTATCTTGCAGCATGACGGATCGCTAACATGTACAGCTTGCGAAACAAACTATGCCTGTATAAAATATACAATCATATGAGCTACTAACTAAAATTGATCTGCAGTAAATGTAAGGCAGCTATTTAACTAGGAAAAGTATATAGATGCAGTACCCATGAACCTAGCTCAAGTATCAAATTTGATTGTTTTCTAAAACATTTACTGCTTCGGCAGTCTCTTTGAAATATTTGCAAAATTTACATTTTCAATTTTTTACGTACGCCTACGGAATCGTCATCCAGATACAACGTCCATTCTCCCTCTTTTTTTATAGTTCCTTTTCTTAGTAGTGTTAGTCAGTTGACAGTTTATAGCTTTTGTTTCCGCTCTGAAGTTAAACCCAACACATTTTGATACACTGAAGCAGAGAAAATGGCAATTCACATCGACAGGGTGTCCGACATTTTGGCTTGATATGATCTCTTCGGGAGGTAACGATGGACCTTCTTTGAAATAAAGTTAAAAAAATGTTGAGATAACTGCGTATGACGATATGGAGGGTATCATTCAGAACATTATAACAACTACACATGTAAACATATTATTTTACGGCATGCTGCATAAACTGTGTTTCATAACTGGGAACAAGGATTCACCACGGCTGATTTTAAAATATTTGTTGCGACATTCTTCTGCCGTAATCCTTCCAATGAAAACCAGCAAGAAAATAATCGAAGACACAAATTTTTCATCATGTTTCTCTGCAGTCACGCAATACTCAGTGGGGAGTTTAAGATCCTGACAACGAAAAAAAGCCGGTACCAACTATTTCGTTAAAAACCAATTAATAATTTGCCCGACTTCATTTTCACGGAGGGGAGGGGGGGGGCAGCCCCGCGTCGTATTAAAGCCTGTGTACACACAACAAAATATATATGAATAGCATCAATAAGTTTAAAGTTATCATTTTTATGTTATTATTATTTTTTGCCCAACTTACTGTACGTTTATAATCGAAGACACAAATTTTTCATCAGTTTTCATCTACATGCGGCTACGCCGTACTCAATGGAGAATTTAAGATCGTGCATGACAACAAAAAAAAACGGGTACCGACTATTTGATTGACACTGATATGGCAATTTAATTAATTGTCCCGCTATTTTAATATGGATTGTTGCATGATTAATATTCTAATAAATTCAGACCTTAATAAACGCCTGTAGTCTAAAAGCTCACTGATGCACACTCAAAGAGTGGAGGTTCAATCTGAACTTCTCTTGAGTGTCAGTGATGTTTTTGAATAGCTGGAGGTTTGACTACTCACCCTCCGGTGTTCAAAAACAGCGTTCACACTCAAGAGATTCCAGAAGCTCAGATTGAACCTGTGGTCATTGAGTGTGAGTGAGCTTTTAGAATACAGGTGAAAGGCACAAGTATAGTAAACAGATTATAATAATCGGGACGGGGCAATTTCAGTTTTAGGAAAGAACGTTATACGTTGCTGAGACATTTCATTTGGATCATATACAAAAGTGCCCCTTTTGGCCAATGCCCCTCCACTTTCGAAATGCTTCCGCGGCCTCTGCTCTGGACGCGTTTCTTAGTGGTCTAAATTAGTTTCCACTCACTGGTCAAGTCATATGTTCGACAATATGAATGTACATTTCTTTCTTGCCTTTTGTATGCTGTAAGCAAGTCACTCTTTACTGACTGCAGAGTTTTAGTTCAGTTTAGTTCAATCATGTAAATGTATATACGTCATTATTATAATTTCAAAGTACGTCACTTTGGCTATAGGACCTTGTTTCCGTATTTGCGCCATTAAGCAAAGCCCAATGTCTCAGTCATGAAAACGAGGCTTTATAGCCAATGTGACGCATTTTCCGGAAGAGTGTATTGCCATAAATGCATGTAAATATTCTTATCCAGAATTTGTCATTGCAAATTAGTTATGAAAAGTTATGGGAAATAAGTAATAAATCATATTGTGTCCATGTTAATACATCGGTCACCTTGTATATGATGGTCGCAGGCTCACAGCAGTTTTAATTCTCGGCATGCATCACACTGAAGACAACATCCAACAGTGAGTAACATGACAATTTAGTATTGTGTGATTATAAATTGCTATAAATATTTAATTGCTGTTGAAAATCGCCGATAAACAATTAGTTTAGATAACAAACATTTTTGAGTGCATTGCTATGCGCCCCTGGTTATTTTAATATCCACCTAACATAATCTGGTTTGATTTAACCAGGAAGCTAGTCCGGTTGGTCAAATTAACTGTAAGCAATTATTATGTTAAAATAACCAGGAAAAGGTTAAAAAGGCATGAGGAAGAGAACTGTAACGAGGGATATATTAAGTTAACCCAAATAGGTTATTTCACTCGGTTAACCAGGACATTTTAACCAGAGTGTTCTTATGCCCTGTTCACATGAACCCGGGACAGCGTTATGTCTCGGGGCAAGCAATTGTCGCGGGACAAAAATTGTCTCGGCTCCTTAGTAAAAGAATAGTGCTGTTCACATGATATTTTACTTGTCCCGGGACAAGAATTGACCCGAGTGCCTCGCCTCTGTAGACAGGGACACTCGCCTAGCCGGGACAACTTTTCCTCATGTGAACACTTTGCCCCGGGGCAACTTTGTCCCGGGATAATTGAATTTTTGGTAAAACGATCAAAATCGCGGCTATAATTACATTTAGAGCACGTTGGACTCCACAAAACTTGTTATTTGATTGAAGATATCATTAGAAATCTATAAGTGATGATTCTAATAATATTAAAATAAAATTGTCGCTAATATCATGTTTGAAACCAAGAAGTGTAGTATGTTACTCAAAGAATTTGATCTGGTCAATCAGAAACAATGAATTGAGAACATTTTATTACGGCTGATAATCAACTATGTTCTATTTGTAAATATCATAACATAAAATACGACTTGCGTTTATCAGAATGTTTTTTATTTAGCAATATTTCACCGTTTCACGTTGGCGGGAATATTTTATGATTCCCGCGTAATGTATTTATAGCCATGACCCGCGCTAGCTTTGTTCATGTGAACAGACGATATCAGTACCCCGGGTCAATGACTTGTCGTGGGGCAGTTGTTTATCCCGGGATCATGTGAACAGGGCCTTAGAATGTAACTATATTTTACTTTTTATTTAGACTATATTATTTAAAAAAGCATGTATATTAAAATTTACTTTTTATAATTAGACAATTATTCATAAACGCTAAATTCGTCACGTGTGGGACAAAAACATTTATATATGAACATTTATGCGGGATCATTTATGAATATAAAATCCAGTCGTGATACCACAAACTCTTACAACTTAAGTGCTATTTTTATCGTTGAACTATAGTTTTGGCCGTTACGACTATAAGGCAATATCTACAGTGCTTAAAGTACTATTTCAAAAACTCATTAATAATTCAGGAGCAAATTAAAACACAAAGAAAAATCATAAGCGTGTCGTGGTTTTATATGTGATAAAAAATCACGTTAATTTACATATTAAACTTTAGCTTTGATTTTCTCGGTTTAGACAAAGTTTATTTTAAAAATTACTTCGCCAATGAACTCGTATAAGATGAGTCGTTTTTGAGGCTATTTAAAGCAATTGTAGTCGTGTTTTATCACATATAAAACACTCCGCTACGCGTCGTGTTTTATATGTGATAAAACACTCCTACGCGTGCTTTAAATAGTACTTAAAACATGAACAGCAGTGTTTGTATCAGACATTTATTATAAAGATACGAAGCGAAGCCGAGTTTTAATTAAATTGCTTCAAAAACGATCGATCTATAGTAAGTTCATTGGCAAAGTAATTTGAAAAAGATATGTTGTGTAAGTCGAGATCGGAAAATCAAAATTAAAATTTATGTAAATCAAGGGAAATCTCTATCAGATATAAAGATAAGACAGGCTTATGATTTTTATTTGTGTTTTCGTCATGAATTATTAATGAGTTTCTGAAGCTTAAGTTCGATCTATAATTCTTACAATACATGCAACAGCTCATTATCTAGGAATCTCGTTATCTAGTGTGCATGATGAATTAAATTATTTTTCTCCTGTAACTACACAATTGTTCAGTGTGTGTTTGATAAGAACTACGTGTTCCTGGGATTTCTAAAATCCAGTAGGACGTATTTTCATCTCAGTTTTCTTCATGGATCTGCTGTCCCTTTTCCAATGATACCAATTCATTCCTTTCCCAGATCTCTCCCCTGCCTTGAGATAGCGACCATTGAGGTTGGAGTAGTGACAGAAGTTATACCACCAAGCACCTTGCTCGGTCACAGCGCAATTGCTGCTACACTTAGAATTATCTCTGTCGTAGGTAGAGAACTTCATTCCGTTGTGATGTTTCAACGAATCACCAGCATTACCTTAGATATAAAACTTCCTTGAAATATATAAAAGTTTGGGATTTTAGAGTATATGATACCCTCTGCTAAAAGTTTAAAATGTCTATATTATCATATCAACACGTTTAAATGTTTGCCATTTTTGTGTATTATCCAATTCTCAATGACTAACCTTTTTGAACATATTTTAATGTTTTAAATCAGTGTCCGTAATTTGGTTTACGACCTTTATAATTTCATAGTGTATTTGAAATTGCATTAATACCATTATCTCTCTCGTAGTCTCTGAGTAGTCACTGGCAAATTGTGAGTATGGCGCACGTTTTACTGCTGATGGCTGAAAAAATCACCATCCAGTTTTCCAACAACCATGTTAAAATGTTGGGGCTATCATGTTCGGATATTAAATCTTATATTTCCTGGCAATAATCACGCTTGGCATAAAATGTTTCAAATTCGGCCACAAGAAATGTTCGAATTTTTGCGGATGGCGCGCGTATTTTTTTGGAGTCTGGAGACGAAATTAATTTTGGAAATGTGCGCTATTTTTAGATAGCTGCGGTGACATGAAGGGTAT